GCAGTACTTGGTGGTAAATCAATTAGAGCCTATAACAGAGCTCAGTGTTTTTTTCCTGCCATCGATCCTGTCAGCTCAGATAGGTCCAGGACTAAGTCACACCATTAGCCCGGGCCCTGACGGTCACCGGGGGTGACAGGTGGCAGACGGCGCTGGTGGACGGGGCGCTGTTAACCCTGGTTGGCTCCTGATTGGTCTGCGCTCTTGTCTTTGGTGTCTTCAGTGCAGACGTCCTCACAGGACGTCCACCCTGCTGTCCGTCTGATGATGTCATGACCATGTGGTTTGTTGTTTTTAGGTTGCCACGGAAACAGTTCCTGCTTCATGTTGTACACGTTCACAAATTGGGAGAGACAGAGACACACGAGATGAGAGATGGGGGAGAGACTGGGGGAGAGACTGGGGGAGAGACTGGGGGGAGAGACTGGGGGAGAGACTGAGGAGAGAAGGTAGAACGGTGCGGTTCCGTTTGAGTGCACGGCCTAACGGTTCTCAGTTCTCTGAAGAAAAGTGCATAAATAGGAGAACTGATCTGTTTCCATGGCAACACTGGGGTTGACGGTGAAGCTCCTTCTCGTTCCTCCGCTGCCAGCACTCGGTCCAGGAAACTGTTGAAGTTCGCGGTCATTTAAAGGCAGCGTCACAGGTCACATGACTAACCCTGTCCTCTGTGGATGTCTGGTCTCTTGAAGATCCCTCAGATCAGCTACGCGTCCACGGCACCGGAGCTGAGCGATGACAGACGCTACGACTTCTTCTCCCGCGTGGTTCCTCCAGACTCGTTCCAGGCCCAGGCCATGGTGGACATCATCAGAGCCTTGGGTTGGTCGTACGTCTCCACCGTGGCTTCAGAGGGCAGCTACGGAGAGAAAGGAATCGAGGCTTTCACACAGCTCTGCAAGGAAGCAGGTAAAGAGACCACCACCATTCACACTACCATTCACACTACCATTTACACCACCGTTCACACTACCATTTACACCACCGTTCACACTACCATTTACACCACCGTTCACACTACCATTTATACTACCATTTACACTACCATTCACACTACCATTCACCCCACCATTCACACTACCATTCACACTACCATTTACTATACCATTCACACTACCATTCACACTACTATTTACACCACCGTTCACACTACCCTCCCACCCCCCCCCCCCCCCACCCACCCCCATTCACACCACCATCCACACTACCATTTCCACACCCAGTCACACTACCATTTACCCTACCATTTATACTACCATTTCCACTACCATTCACACCACCAGTTACACTACCATTCACGCTACCATTTACACCCCCATCCACACTACCATTCACACCACCGTTCACACTACCCTCCCACCCCCCCCCCCCCCCCACCCACCCCCATTCACACCACCATCCACACTACCATTTATACTCCCATTTACACTCCCATTTATACTCCCATTTACACTCCCATTTACACTCCCATTTACACTCCCATTTACACTACCATTCACACCGCCATTCACACTACCATTAATACTACCATTTACACCCCCGTTCACACTACCATTTCCCCCACCATTCACACTAGCATTCACACTACCATACACACCAACATTCACACTACCATACACACCAACATTCACACTACCATACACACCAACATTCACACTACCATATACACTACCATTCACCCCACCATTTACCCCCCCATTCCCCCTACCATTCACACCACCATCCACACTACCATTTACCCTACCATTTACCCTACCATTTACCCTACCATTCACACCACCATCCACACTACCATTTACCCCACCATTCACACTCCCATTTACCCTCCCATTCACACTCCCATTTACCCTCCCATTCCCCCCCCCATTCCCACTCCCATTTATACTCCCATTTACACACCCATTCACACTACCATATACACTACCATTCACACTGCCATTTACACCACCATTTCCACCACCATTTACACCACAATTTACACCACCATTAAAACTAACATTTACACTCCCATTTACCCTCCCATTCCCCCCCCCATTCCCACTCCCATTCACACCACCATCCACACTACCATTCACCCCACCATTTACCCCCCCATTTACCCCACCGTTCACACTACCATTTCCCCCACCATTCACACTCCCATTCACCCTCCCATTCCCACCACCATTCACACTACCATACACACCAACATTCACACTACCATATACACTACCATTCACCCCACCATTTACCCCCCCATTTACACCCCCATCCACACTACCATTTACTATACCATTCACCCTACCATTCCCCCTACCATTCACACCACCATCCACACTACCATTCACGCTACCATTTACACCCCCATCCACACTACCATTTACCCTACCATTTACACTACCATTCCCCCCACCATTCACACTCCCATTTACACCACCATTAAAACTAACATTTACACTCCCATTTACCCTCCCATTCACACTCCCATTCACCCTCCCATTCCCCCCCCCATTCCCACTCCCATTTATACTACCATTCACACTCCCATTTATACTCCCATTTACACTACCATTCACCCCACCATTTACCCCCCCATTCCCCCTCCCATTTATACTACCATTCACACTGCCATTTACACCACCATTCACACTTTTGGACTGCTTAGGGGGAACAATTGACCCTAATCTCCAGTCTGCACCCCCCCCCCCCCCCCCCCCCATTTTAGTTGACTGTAGGTCAGTAGGACATGGTCATGTGACCTGTAGACTGTTTTGGTCTGAGACAGAAAAGATCACAGTTCATCAGTCTGGTCTCCCTGTTTTATTCCATTGATGTGCTCGCTTTTGTGCGCCGTTCAATAACGGTCTGTTGGTGTGTCTGTCTGTCTGTTAGTCTGTTGGTGTGTCTGTCTGTCTGTCTGTTGGTGTGTCTGT